CATATTTTTATGTGACAATTCAAGGGGTTGTTATACTTAGTACTCTGAGTAATGTAAGATTTGAGGTTTTCACAGCAGTGAGTAAGAAGATTTCTGTCTTCTGGGTTATTGCGCTGTATAGTCTGGTGGATGTTAACCAACGTCTACCAGACTATACGGCGCAACAACCCAGAAGACAGAAATCTTCATACTCTGAGGACGGAGGCAGTAGGACCTCAGAAACGTTGGCTGACATCCACCAGACTACACAGCGTAACAACCCAGAAGACAGAAATCTTCATACTCTGAGGACGGAGGCAGTAGGACCTCAGAAACGTTGGCTGACATCCACCAGACTACACAGCGTAACAACCCAGAAGACAGAAATCTTCATACTCTGAGGACGGAGGCAGTAGGACCTCAGAAACGTTGGCTGACATCCACCAGACTACACAGCGTAACAACCCAGAAGACAGAAATCTTCATACTCTGAGGACGGAGGCAGTAGGACCTCAGAAACGTTGGCTGACATCCACCAGACTACACAGCGTAACAACCCAGAAGACAGAAATCTTCATACTCTGAGGACGGAGGCAGTAGGACCTCAGAAACGTTGGCTGACATCCACCAGACTACACAGCGTAACAACCCAGAAGACAGAAATCTTCATACTCTGAGGACGGAGGCAGTAGGACCTCAGAAACGTTGGCTGACATCCACCAGACTACACAGCGTAACAACCCAGAAGACAGAAATCTTCATACTCTGAGGACGGAGGCAGTAGGACCTCAGAAACGTTGGCTGACATCCACCAGACTACACAGCGTAACAACCCAGAAGACAGAAATCTTCATACTCTGAGGACGGAGGCAGTAGGACCTCAGAAACGTTGGCTGACATCCACCAGACTACACAGCGTAACAACCCAGAAGACAGAAATCTTCATACTCTGAGGACGGAGGCAGTAGGACCTCAGAAACGTTGGCTGACATCCACCAGACTACACAGCGTAACAACCCAGAAGACAGAAATCTTCATACTCTGAGGACGGAGGCAGTAGGACCTCAGAAACGTTGGCTGACATCCACCAGACTACACAGCGTAACAACCCAGAAGACAGAAATCTTCATACTCTGAGGACGGAGGCAGTAGGACCTCAGAAACGTTGGCTGACATCCACCAGACTACACAGCGTAACAACCCAGAAGACAGAAATCTTCATACTCTGAGGACGGAGGCAGTAGGACCTCAGAAACGTTGGCTGACATCCACCAGACTACACAGCGTAACAACCCAGAAGACAGAAATCTTCATACTCTGAGGACGGAGGCAGTAGGACCTCAGAAACGTTGGCTGACATCCACCAGACTACACAGCGTAACAACCCAGAAGACAGAAATCTTCATACTCTGAGGACGGAGGCAGTAGGACCTCAGAAACGTTGGCTGACATCCACCAGACTACACAGCGTAACAACCCAGAAGACAGAAATCTTCATACTCTGAGGACGGAGGCAGTAGGACCTCAGAAACGTTGGCTGACATCCACCAGACTACACAGCGTAACAACCCAGAAGACAGAAATCTTCATACTCTGGGTAAAGTAGACGGAATCAGCACGCTTGACTCACTTCCAGTTAGAAACATTGTTTTAAATTCAATTTGCACATACAGGGACGAGAGTTAATGCTAATGAAAATATCTTAAAAGAGCCCTTGGTTTGAATCCAGTGCAGGTATTTTAATATTTGTATATATCTTCAATCTCAAGTTTTTCATAGTCGGAGATAAGAGCACTTAAAATTTTGTGTGATTCAGTTTTAAGTTTGTTGCGTTATTATATATATATATATATATATATATATATATATATATATATATATTTATCAACCTAAATAACGCCTACAGAATCATGTGTTTTATCGCAGTATTGAAGAAGCAATATGTGGCAATAGTTTTTTAAAGAATGTCGAACACATAACCAACAAAAGTATTTGATACAGGAGGAAATTAAGTAAATCTTTCTGTTTAAAATATTGCTGGCATGGGACGTGTTTTTACGAGTAGGCCCACGTCTAATTTTAAAAAATACATTATACCGAAACAAGTACATGTCATATGAATATGTTACGCATGATGATAAAAGCACATTTCTCGTTGATAAGCTGATAATTGCTTAGTTGTTCAATTAATCCCCACCTTTTGTTGTACCTGAAAGTTCATTGTTGCTTTCACAAGACAATAACACTATTCTGATCCATTTACATCCAGAACACACCCTAAAATCTATTTTATTAAAGTTCGATTTAACAGATAAGTAACTACGGTAAGTAGTCTTAACTTCGTGCGCATTCCTATTGAGACAGTGGTAGTCTATGAAGAGGTAAAATTTTATCTTTCTTAGATCCGGTGAATATTCATTACCGTACTCACTACAGCCCGTCATTAACCACAACCATAATCTTTTTCGTTAATATTTGTTCTTGTGATAAATAAGTATTATTTATGTATTGTATTTCCTGATCGCAATTGTCGTATAAACATTCCATAGGAATATATGATCTGAAGCTATTTATCTCATGTGTGCCACAGTTTAAGTATACTTAACTGTCTCCAAAATGAGTTTTCTTCTAAATTAAATAAGTTTTAATTCACATCGGAATATCCGAGTCTGTTTATTGTAACATTAGTTTCTAAAAGCAAGTAGATATGGGTTGTAGACCTTCCTGATGTTTTAACACGCTTAAAAGTGTCGGGAATTTGTAAATAAGATGTAAGATGAAGGTCTATTTATTCTGTAACCCCGTGTCGATCCAGTGACCGACCACCTGTCACGTCAAATTAATTAATATCAGTTGTGAAGGGAACCATGTAAATGCTCACGAAACCGCTGAGTAATGGTGACACTGCAAAGTGTAAGCTGAGTATGCCACTATAATAAAGCTATTAAGTTGTCCATTGAATCGTTTAAAACCGTCCGCAAAATGGCAGCTGTTGAATGGTAGTTTTCTCTGCTGTGTTTATTGAAACCTTACGTCTCTTTTCTGCACATTATCGCACATTATTGTCACGTTCGTGGGTTAGGTTAGGTTCCAGAGGTTTCCATTGGCCCTTTCAACCTTATTCCTGCACATGGCGTCTTCTTAAACAATGTAGATTTCATCAGACCTGTGTACTTTCTTAACACTGCACGTTTAAGCCTCAAAGCGTAACAAGATGTCTGTCTTCTGGGTTATTAAGCCGTGTAATCTGGTAGACGTTTACTGATGTTTCAGAGGTACTTTCTGCTTCCATCTTCAGGGCGATGAATTATCTTCGATGCATAATCATTTCCCTGATGATGAAAGTATGAAACATATCTAATATTTCGGTAAACTTATATGTGATTAAACAATGCAACGTCTCAGAAGACAGCAATTTTTATAGTAACCATGGGAACCTGATATATGAGCTGTAGAATAATTTATATGACATATTTGTTGAATCAAGGGCGGAAAATTACTAATAGTATCCCTTTGGACCACTGAAACATTTGTTTTAAGAACTTACCACTTCGGTGTGCGCTGAGGTCCATGTTGGTCTTACTGTTTTTTTCTGAATGTTTGTTTCAGTCGTGATGCATAAGGATAAGGAAGACGGGATGCACCACGACTCGCAATTCAGGAATCGAGATCTCACGACGTATGACCACACGCTGCTTGATGGCGAAATGTTCCTGCAGGTACGTGCGAACATCGTGTTGATATTGCACCTTCAGAGTGTTCCCTCGCCCTGTACCGAGCCTAAGCACTTTTCCGCTGTCTTAGCAGAATTCTTGAGGCTCTCGAAGCTTCGATTTGTCACAACATTCCGTTACAGTAGACCCTCATTTAACCACGGCTCGTTACACCGCGGATATGATTATGTCTGCCAATATGGTTATGTTTTATTTAACATAAATTGCTGCGAAATAGCAACTGAAACATTTTGACTTCACCTAGGTGTGTCGCGGCACATTGGTTGTGGAACACTATTCTAGGGACAGTTATTTAAAACTAAATATCTCTTCTGTAGCATTGTGAGGGTTAAAACATTTCCTATTGTTGAAAAAACATTTAATGTTACGAAACTTTTGAAATCAATACACGATCTTAAGAGATCTTAAATTTTGAAAGATCACGCGAACTTACCATGACACGTATTGGAGCCAGTTCTAACGCGTGTCTAGTTGACGTTAAACTGCTTTGTAGTGCGCACTGCAAATTGATGCATCTGTTTATTGAACGCGATGCGCCCACCTGGTCACGCATGTAGACGTCATTTACTGACAGACAGAAGCTTCTATCAAACAATGATTAATGATTCCTGCACCTTACAACCTCTCATTCCGTCTAATTTAGCTGGCAAGTGCCTGATTGATTGCAGACCTTCGGTATCTGCTCTGATCTTGCGACTTCCTCTCTCTTCTTGCTTTGGCGTTGTTAACGTGTGTGTATATACATCTTAATTTTTTACCCCTCAACGTTCTAGTACTCTTGTGATTGGTTTTGACAGACTGGAGGGCATTTATTAAGGTCTGGTTCAAGCAAATATGGACAGATAGGTATTTACGTATATTTAGACAGTTTTGTATCACGTAGATTAGAAGCAATTGTGAAAAAAGATGAAACAACGAGTGCTAATCTAGTTGTGTGTTCACAAGAAAAAACGCGGGAAATAAATTGCCGCCGGTTGGTAGGCGTGGCTGTCGGAAGAATGCTGATCGCGAAGGCCGTTTTCGACAGTTTCATGTAAACATGTTTCTTGATATTTACGTAGTTGATCGCGGTATGCAAGAATTATTATGAATAGAAAGTGGGCTTATGTAATTACTTTTTATAAACTGTTAACTGCATAGTGTATTTCGTACATTATGCAAAATAATAACATAAATGACCGTTAAAACATTGGATTCGTAAGATGGTCCAGACTTTTAAAACTCTGATATTTTTTTCACTTGTGAAAAATTAAACGTTGCCCGTTTGAACTGGTAGTTTGAAGAGATTTTTTAAAATATTGTTTTATCATGTACCAAGCTCCAATTTAATGCAACTCTTTGGACAGATAAACTAAACATCACATAAAATTCAATTATGATTCTGTACATTAACTATTATTATTATTATTATTATTATTTAGTGTTATTTATTTTATTTATAATTATTAAATTGAATTATATTACTTAGGTATCGTATTTAGCCCATTTATTTGTGAAATATGATTCAATAAATGAATCTAATTATTATTATTATTAATATGGTACATTTATATATTCAGTTTCATTTGTTTGTTTTACTTTTATTATTATTGAAATAAATTAATTACTTATTATATTATATCCTGTACTCTGGTTTAGTGCTTGGCTGTTATTGGCCTTTTTGGCTGTTGTCAAGCACTTAAATAAATGAACTGAATTGAATTGAATTGAATTTAATTTAATTTGTTAGAGCGCTCTTTAAATTTTATGTTACGCCCACAGATAACTGTTGTAATAAATGCATATTCCTTTTAATTTTCTTGCTGTCCTTTGACAATTATGTTGGTGGACAATTCTTTTGTACTCTTTGATGTCCAGTTTGACTTGCAAGTACAATTTTCAGTTTGTGTAAATGACTTCCAAATTCTACTACATTTTCATAATTTCTATATGTCCATTTACTTGTGTTAAAATTTTCAAAATTATAGTTTCAACACACAAAATTTTTAAAAAAAAATTTAACCCGTATGTGGTCCACCTTTTGATCCTATATTTTACTTTAATTTTGCTGATTCTGGTGGCTTGGCCTTGTGAGACCTCTCATACCCTGGAATCTCGGGTTTCAATCCCACTCTGAAAATGGACGCTTGTCTGAGTTTATGCCATGTCCCGTGAATGTTAGGCCTGATTTTATACAAGGAATGTAGCGAGTTGACCAAGTAAGGGTTGAAAAAATCTTAAGTAGCAATATTTGAGTCGAGCTGTTTTGCCTAGGGAGTAGTTTAGAATAGACTCTATCTGATTTAGTTGCATTTTACTTCCCATAACGACATTGTACAACATATTAATTACTTTGTAATTAATATATAGTGATTAAAGCTAAGGAATTAGAAGTGCAGGTCATGGAGTAGGTATAAGTAGATGAATAATTTTCTTAGGCGATCAGTCGATTCAAGTAGAGAGTTTTAATTTGAAAATCAAAACGTAAGAGACTGTTTTATATAATTGAGCACATATGGAGGATAATAGGTCATAATTAAACATTTTTGAAAGAAAGAGATGTGTAAGAGCATATAGTGGATGTAACTTTCTCAGTATTCGGTCCAGTGGCGGGTTATTATAAACATGGTAAGCCTAATTTACATTGGATTTCCTGAATATATGAGCTACTATCAGCTTTTAAATAAAATCTGTGTATTATGAAGTTATGTTAGTGAGGTTTGACATCCTCACGGCAGCGAGCATGAAGATGATTGTCCTATAGGTTTATCACCATGTAGCCCGGTGGAAATTTACCATTTTTTCAAAGGTTCATTAAGGCAACAACGCAGAAGACAGTTATTTTTATAGGGTTACTTATTTGATTAGTTACAACATTATCCCCCTTTCAAAAGTTCGCAGCGCTGTAATTTCAAGCACCTGACACACGCGTAGCTCAGAAGCAACGCTTCTGATACCTACTTCCATTTCTGCTTGACAAATGAGCGAGGGGAAATATTTCTAAGATCCTAGTTTCACAGAATGTCTTTTCTAACAAAATTCTGTTAAGCCGTCACCTTTTTCCTGCCGTCCCAGACAGTTCGTGGGGTTTGAATAGGCCTGGACTACTCCCATGACCCATCTGTTTTTAACTGAGATTATAGAGGGCAAAGCCAAATGCAGGTGTTTTGTGTGTTAACGTGCCGAAGAGTAACACTGACGTCGACTAACAGACGCCCTGATAGCCGAAGCCAAAGATTTATTCGTCAGAATTTTGCATGTATTTCTTGTATCGCCCATGCTGGCTATACGTGCAGCCCACCACTGCCTTCTGCATTTCAGTGCCATAGAAATTCTAGGTGACTTGTACGGTGTAAGTCACAAAATTATTCGTTCTCTTACATTCTAAACCGTGGACCTAGCACGTCTTTCTTAGGTACAAATGTTTACCTGAGCGCCTCTTTTTTTAAAAAATTGTAATTTATCCTTTTTATCTTAGAGTAAGATACCAGTTTCAAAACTATACAAAATAAATTATAATATTATTGATTTGTTTATCATAATCTTAGGGGGTTTAGAATTTAATCGCGGTGATAGGACTTTTAGAACTGATTGATAGGTCCGTCAAGCATTTATAAGATTTCTTATTATTATTATAGTGATGAATCCCATTTCTACTTGTTAATGTCTTCATTACGGATATTTAAATTATGAAACACAACCACTAATTCAATAATTTATATTTGATATCTCAAGCACATTTGTAAAATTACAAATAATACATAAACTGTGCTGTTTTTAACGACGGCTTAAGTTATACCTTAAATACACGTCACCACGACCGTTCTATGGAAATTTCATTTTGGCTTCAGTTCAATATGGAAAATAATTTACACGACTGACAGAGTAAAGATGTAGTTGTTATAAGTCCTTAAGGACTCGGAATTGGTTCTCCGGCGTCGGCAGGACCTGGCTCCAAGTCAGGGTCAATGATAGATGGCACATATAATGTTCAGATACCTCCTGGGTTTCGGACCTGGTTCAAATGATAGCCATTATTTTTTTACAAGGAAAATTTTATTCGCAGTTGCGCTCATTTCGCACTCGTGACAGTCACAGAATTAAGAAGTATCTTACAGAGATTCAACGATTGGTCAGCGACTTACAATGTGACTGCTAGCGTATATTTGTTGGGATCCCCGGGTGTTTTTACGATGTCGTCAGATAATTTATTTCAGATTATTGACATTCATGCATTATTATGTACTTCTATTAGTGACACAAAAATCAGGGAAGATTATAAATATTTGGACTGGAATAAACGGAAAATGGGCTTCTGTTGGGTTCGGGCAAAATATTTTAAGTTAAATTTCCGGCTAGGGTAAATTTGTTCTTGGGCCGGGCCGGTAATGTTCTAAAATTTCGGCTCGTGCAGACCTCTATAGTCTATATTCTATACTATAAAAATTTGTGATTTTCCTCGTCTTCAAAAAATGACGTCATCAAACAATGTAACCTTATATTTGTTCACTCGACATTGTTGTACCAACACAACAATGCCGAGTAAACAAATGACGTGACAAATTACTTGAGTAAGACACTAAACTAACCTCCCCGAAGGGGGGTTAGTTTAGTGTCTTACTCAAGATTTTAAAAAGCAACTAAACCCCCTTCGGGGGTTTGGTCAAGTGTTTTAACCCCCCATTCGAGGGGGTTGATTTAGTTTCTTACTCAAGATTTTAAAAACTTGACCAACCCTCCCGAAGGGGGTTTGTCAAGTGTTTTAAACCCCCATTCAGGGGGGTTGGTTTCGTTTTAAAAACTTGACCAACCCCTCTAGGAGCTCCGAAAGGAGCGCTCTGCTCTAGTGATTATAAAATATCTCCGGAAATTTTTATAACTTACTGTATTTCTATACGTGTTTAGTCAATTAACAAACTACGAGGAAATATTTTGTTTATATCGTAGGAATGAATACAATCGATAATGGTCTTAGTGGCCTTGAGGTCTGAAGTGTGGGTCTCGGC